GAGGATAAGAGAAACACGAATTGGTATTTAAAAGTTTAAGCAAATTTCTAGCATTAGTGACCTTCGAAGTGTCAGAATTGTATTAATTTGTATTAAGCAGAATTTCATTAAGCAAAATAAACACATGCTTTGGCCGTCGAGGAAAACGGGTACCACAAAAAGGTACTTAGATATTCAGGATAAGGCGCACCACAAAATTTCCTACTGCCGCTTTTAACTTAGACTGTGCGGGGTACCGACGAAGACCGAGAGAGAAAGAATGAAAAAAAAAAAAAAAAAAAAAAAAACACTGTTACAAATACAGATGAGGCAACTAAAATCCTTAAGAGCTTCTGAAAGTCTTAATCCAGTCCTATGTGGCATACTTGCTGTGAGTGATGAGATTACTGATAATGTTACGAATTTTGGTTTTATATAGGTAATGTTAGTGGAATTAAAATTAAATTTATTGTATTTCCCCCCTGCAATACAGCGCAAGACAAATTTTAAGAGAAAGCTATGCTGGAAAAGTAAGAATACAGGGGCACATGCATTGAACTTTGAGTAAATGTGAATCCTGATAATTTGTATTGAAACTGAATAAATCTAATGAACCGCTATGTTAGCTGTAATCGTAATTCGAATATTGCTTTCCAGAAATCTCGAGAAGCAGAAAGTGCTAGAAATATCTCGTGGCCGGTGGTAAACTATTTAAGGCTGAAGAGAGAGCATCTGCTCTCAGTTGCTTAGTTAATGTTGTTACGAGTTGTTTAATTCCGTGTAAACTGAGATATCAAAGTTAGCTTTTTCTTTAGATGCACTTTGCATTGCGATTATTTAATGTTTTCAGTAGTTTGAAGTGTAACTACTGATTATACTTGTGATACTGTGAACACTTGTGCGAATATTTCTGTGTAAAATTCCAGAGTTCTGAAATATTTCTTTTGACCAAAATTAATTTTTATTGAATTATTATCGGACTTGTGCATTCAATCTATTAGGAACCCATGAGCACGCAACACTTTTCGGTGTCAGAAGAGGGATTGAATGCCAGTGAGAAAAGCGATGGAGGAACAATTAAGGCCGTCGGTGACAGTTTTTGCTGCGTTCAAAGAATAGGTGAAAGCCGCTCAAGATTCCGTTAAAGTAGAGATGAAAGCCGTTCAAGAAAGATAGAAGCTAGTCAAGTATCTGTAAAAAAGAGATGTAAGCCGTTCAGGAACGGATGGAATCTGATCAAGTATCCATTAAAGAATAGAGGAAAGGAGGTCAAGAGGAAATGAAAAGAGAGTTTACCTGTATAATAGAAAACAATTTGAGAAGGAAGGAAGACAAAACTGAAAGAATGGAAGGCAAAACTGACGCTGTTGAAAATAAAGTAGGACACATTGAAGAAAGAGTTTCTTCTCCAAAAGAAGAAATAGAAGAAAAAGTTTCTGCTGTGGAACAACGAATCAAAGGAAGAGTTTCTGCCGTCCAACACAAATTGATGACAGGGTTTCTGCTGCCGTCGCCAAAGAATTTGACACACACACAGTGCATAGCGACAGCAGGATATAATTCTGAGGGTTTTAAATTTTTACCCATGCTTGCTCGTCCCTTTCTGAATCTATCCACATAGGATGGGAAGACTTGCTGGAAAGTGTATAAGACACAATTTTATATTGTGGATTTCATAATTTCTATTGTATCTATAAGACACAATTTTCTATTGTGGTGGAAGCGAATGGGTGGAATTCCCAAGCTAAGGTCTGAACGTGTCATTCAGGAGTTTCAAGATGTTTTCTCCTGGGTCGAACCAGTCTGATATAGCATAAAATCGATATCGGGGATCATCCACCAATCAAGCAACATCCAAGACTTCTACCGATTGCTAACCAGGAAGAGATAGGAAAAAATTTAAAGGACATAAAAGAAAACGATCTCATGGAGCCTTCAATATGTCCATGGCATCTCCGATCCTCCTAGGCAGAAAGGAAGACGGTTCAACTAGATTTTGCGTTGACTATCGCTGGTTGATGAGGTTACGAAGAAAGACAGCTATCCTCTCCCTAAAATTGACGACATCCCGGATACTCTTTCTGGAAGCAAGTGGTTTTCGACGCTTCATTAAATAGTCGATATTGATAGACAGAGATACATCCTGACGATCGAGAAAAGACGATTTTTGCTAGCAGACAAGGATTTTGGCAGTTCAAGGTATTGCCATTTGGTAATGCGCCGGCTACATTCGAAAGCCTCATGGAGACCGTGTTGAGAGGTCTTTCCTACGAAACATGTATGATACACTGGGATGACATCATCATCGTTGGGAAGAGTTTTCAAGAACACCTAGAAAATCTGAGAAAGATGCTTCAGAAACTTTAAGAAGCCAATCTAAAGTTAAGTCCCGCCAAATGTAAATTATTCTGACAAGAAGTTACTTACCTCGGACATGTCATCTCTGCTGAAGGTGTGTGTACGGATCCTGAAAAATGGACAGCACTTAAAGACTTAAAAAGCCCCGAAAATTTCCATCAACTGAGAAGTTTTCTTGGAACATTGCACCTACTATAGGAGATTCGTGAAGGACGTTTCTTCTATCGCAAGACCCCCTTCACAAGCTGACAGAGAGCAAGCAAAAGTTTCTGCGGACAAAAGAATGTACGAAAGCATTTAGCAACCTGAACGAAGCTTTAACATCTGCTCTAATTCTGACGTATCAGACCATTTATTCTCGACAGACCATTTATTCTCGACACGGATGCTAGCAGTGAAAGTGTAGGTGGTGTTTTGTCTTGGCCAAGAACGTGTCTTGGCCTACTGGAGCAAGTGCCTATCAAAACCGTAGAGGAATTATTGTGTCACCAGGAAAGAGATGCTCGCCATAGTTAAAGTTCCATTTCGATCATTATCTCTACAGCAGAAAATTCCTGCTCCACACGGATCATGAGTCGTTGACATGGCTTTTAAATTTTAAGAATTCTGAATACCAAATAGCCAGATGGATAAAGAAACTCCAGGAATATGACATCACTATCCGTCATCGGAAGGGATCATCACATGGAAACGACGGCACCGTGTCTAGAAGACCTTACGTAGCAAGCTGTCTATAGTATTCCGGGATCGAAGCGAAATATGAGCTACTGAATCCTGTCGCACAAGAAAAAACTTCAACATCAGTTGATCAAGACGCGAGGAATGATGACGAAGTCAGGAAACACCAGCTGGAAAACGGAGACATTAAACCCATAATTGACTTAATGGAGTCTTCAAGCAGAAAACTACCTACCTACCTGGCAGGGCATTTCGATCTATAATTCTACGACAAAACAATATTGGGCTCTCCTGGGACTCATTCCACATTCGCAATCGTGTCTTGTACAGGTAATTTGAATCGGATGATGGAAAGACATTCCGATGGTAGCTGAAACTTCCAAGATAGCGGATCATGAACGTTCTTAAAAAACTACAGAGCAACTCTACAGGAGGCCATTTCGGAGTATTGAGGACTTTGAAAAGCGTTCGAGAACTCTTCTACTGGACTAACGGTGCTAATCTTGCGGTGCCTGTGCGGGTCGGAAAAGACCAAACAAACGCAGCCGAGGCAAGATGCAACGTTACTGTAGGAGCGCCTTTTGAACGCATCGCCTTTGATATCCTGGGACCTCTGCCACGAACTGCGGATGGCAGCAAATACATCCTTTTTGTCATTGATTACTTAAGGGTATCCTCTTTCTAAATCAAGAGGCTGTGACAGTAGCAGAGGTAATGATACGGCATTGGATTTCCGGAGTTCTCTTCAGTTGCATTCCGATTTAGAAAAAAAATTATATCAGCTGTAATTAGAGATCTTCGCAAATTACTCGGCATAGACAAAAAGGGAAACGACACCTTTATATCCTCAGTCAGACTGCATGGTGGAGAGATTTAATCGAACCACCCTTAATAACCTCTCATTGGTGGATTCCAGAAACCAACAGGTTTGGGGCAAGAAATTACCTATATTTTTACTGGCTTGTCGCAGTGCTATCCACGAGACTACAGGCTATTCCCCATCCCAGATGCTCTTCAGTCGTGACATGCGTTTGTCTTCCGATCTCTTGTTTGGTCGACCTCCGGATGCGCCTTCATCGCCTGAGGAATACATCTAAGATCTCCAGGCGCGGTTTGAAGTGATGGATAGTTTTGCAAGAAAGTGAGTCAACTTGGTGACAGAGAAGATGAAGCCTCTATACAGGACATGGATTCAACGAAGGAGACAAGGTGTGGTTATGGAATCCGATTCGACGGAAAGGACTCTGTCCTAAACTACAGTCCCCTTGAGATGGTCCTTACACACTCCTAAACAGGCTGAACAATATGGTTGTGAACAATATTTTGACTCTAATATTTTTGTTTATATTTTTCTAACTGCAGCTTCTGAGTAATATTGCACAAGCTTCAAGCAGATGTAATCGTTTTCTTACTCTATAGGTTTTTTTATTCATTATCTATTCATATTATTATTATCTATGTTTTGTAAACAGTTTATGTTTCAGAGAATGGCAATATACTATGATGTTGTTCTTTTTAGAGAGTTAAGTGTAACTTTTGTTTTCCTCATTTGAGAGTATGAATAAAGGAATTATTTAATTATTGTAGAGTCATAAATAACTAAAGAGATATAGATAGTTATTTTCCAAGTAATAAATAGTTCTTGAGGTAACAAATTTGGTGAGAATTTTTGAACATTTGGCGTCCGCTGACTGGACTGTTATCTGTAAGTAGAATTCTTTCGTTTATTTATAATGGATGTTTTGAAGTGCAAACGATCTCAATTTAGGAGATTGTTTACAAAAGCTTTAAATGATTTTGAGAAGAATCAAAATGATTTATCTTTAGACGGAAAAATTTCGAAACTTAAATTAGTTGAGGACAAAGCAAAACCTATGATTGAAATAGAACAGACTTATAGAGAAGAATTGATTAAAATTGAAAAAGATGAAACTGTGGTAAATAACGAGTTTGATTAGTCGGAATGCTATATTGATAAGTGGAGAATGGTAGAAAGTAAATTAGTTTCGCTTCTAGCTGAAAAGGAAAACGGTTCTGTTGTTAATGAAAGCTTAACTCAAAATGCCACTACTATACGTTATCCTAAGCTTAAACTTCCGATTTTTGATGGGAATATTAAAAGCTGGTTAGGATTTTGGGACCAGTTTAAAAAGATTGATAATGATCCCAATTTAGATGATCATGATAAATTTGCATATTTATTGCAGTCTATGGAAAAAGGGTCATCTGCTGAAGAGTTAATCAAAAGCTTTCCGCCCGGTGGCGAAAGTTATAGTAAAGCTTTAGAACAACTGCAATCGCGTTTTGGGAAAGAAGACCTTCTTATAGAAGTCTATGTTAGAGATCTACTTTCGTAAGTATTATTAAAAAAACTCTCAGCAGAAATTTTCATTACGAAAACTCTATGATAACTTAGAATCGAAACTAAGAGCGTTAGAAGTTCTGGGTGTTGCTAGAGATAAATATGCGGCGATGTTATATCCTCTAGTCGAATCGTCATTGCCGGATGATACATTAAGAGCATGGCAAAGATTCCGAGTTATTAATAGCAGTCAGAGAGAATCTGAAAGTAGTGAGCAAAAAGAGAAAAATGCGTCAACACTTCGCATGGATTTAGATGGTTTGCTTTCATTTTTGCTCGATGAAATTGAAGGTGAAGAGAGAGTATCTATAGTTACTCAGTGCTTTACTAAATATCAGACTATAATCAGACACCTAAGCCTGGGAATGCTAAACACTTTGGTTTCAAAAACCGTGGAGAATTTTCCAAAACACCTTCTGACTCTAATAGCAACATCTGAACAAAATTCAACTGGATGTATTTTTTGTGCTGGAAATCATGCATCTGGTGATTGCGTTAAAGCAAGAAAGATGACGTCTGAGGAAAGGCAAAAAGCAGTTCTAAATAGCAGTTGCTTTTTATGTTTAGACAGAAAACATGTAATAGCTAAATGTAAAAAAAACGAACATCGTGTGTGATTTGTGGGAAGAAACACCACATACTTTTATGTAGAAATATCCAAGCTGAATCAAAATCTCCAGTTCCTGTTAGCACGAAGAATAAGGATGAAAATACGGATGCAGTACCTGAACGAGATGAAACCCTCGCCAATTTGGCGAGAACAACAAATGTGTTTTTGCAAACTTTAACGGTTACATTGAAAGGGCGAGATAGAAAGCGCCAGGCCCGTGCTATTATCGATTCAGCTTCACAGAGATCTTATATTTTAAAAAGCACTGCAGATGAAATGAAATTTGAGAGTACATCTAAAGAAAGATTGAGCCATTCATTATTTGGCGGGTCATGTACTGATGTCATAAACCACGATGTTTTTACAGTGTTCTTGTCTAAAACGGATGGAAACTTATCATTGTAACTTCAAAGCTCTTAGCCAAGATATTATTTGTGGAAGTATACCACCAGTTGCTAATGGCGAGTGGATTCAAGAGCTTAAAGAGAACAATATATCCGTATGCGACGATAGTAATGGACCAATAGAAATACTTATTGGCGCTGACATTGCAGGCAAGTTGATGACCGGAGGATTTAAATTGCTTACTTCAGGCCTTGCTGCTATAGAAACAAAACTTGGTTGGACTCTTTTCGGGAAAAATGGTATGCGTGAGATCTCGGACAATTCCGCACTGCTCGTCACATCCATGTTGAATAAGGAAATATTGATATCCGATCTATGGTCTCTAGATTCACTTGGAATTCTAGATCCATCAGAGAAGAAAAGTAAACTGGAACTTCAAGAAGAAGCAAGAGATCATTTCTTGTCTACTGTAAAGGTGAACGAAGAGGGGCGTTTTCAAGTCAGCTTGCCATGGCTTGATAACCATCTACCGTTAAAAGATAACTATGACTTAGCTGTAAAGAGATTAGCTTCTACAGTAAAACGACTAAAAGCTGAGAAACTGAAACTTTATGATGCTTATGGAGAAGTTTTTAGTGAATGGGAACAAGAAGGCATCATAGAAGAAGTACCAAAAAGCGAAATTGATGTAACATGCCATTATCTACCACATCGACACGTAGTAAAAGAAAACAGTACTACACGAATCAGGCCAGTGTTTGATGCCTCGGCCAAACAAAAAGGATCCCCTAGTCTCAATGATTGTCTAGAAAAAGGTCAGAACCTTATCGAACTGATTCCTTCAATTCTTCATAGATTCCGAATGAACAGAATAGGAGTTTCTGCAGATATACGAAAAGCATTCTTACAAATAAGTCTCAACCCTAAGGATAAAGACTATCTAAGATTCTTATGGTATAGAACTGATGGAAAACTGAAGTATTACAGGCATTGTAGGGTAGTATTTGGAGTTACAAGCAGCCCTTTCTTGCTAGTTTCTGTAATTCACCATCTTCTAGAATCCACTTTGAAACAACTAAATGGAAACCCAAAGTATAAAGTGGATATTATTGAGCAATTGAAGAAGAGCTTTTATGTAGATAATTGTTTAGCGAGTGTGAAAAATGATTTAGAATTGCAACAATTCATACAAGTTGCTTCAGATACTTTAGCTACAAGAAAGCTAGAATTACGTGGTTGGGAATATAGTGACCCAACAGATAATTCCTCTAGTACCACAAATGTATTAGGAATGATTTGGGAACGATGTGGAGATTACCTTTGCCTTAATATTACTAACATCACCTACAATCTACCAGAAATTTTGTCTAAAAGAGAGATTTTAGCTACTACACACAAAATATTCGACCCTTTAGGAATAGCTTGCCCCGTAAGTCTTGTGCCGAAACTTTTACTTCAGCACCTATGGGAAGTTAAGTTATCTTGGGACCAAAAAGTTGATTCAAATTCAAAATCACAATTTTGTAAATGGTTGAATGATTTGCAGTGTCTGGAAAGAATGAGAATACCAAGATGGTTAAACTGTGATCGTGAGATTGAAAAATATCTCACTTCATTTCTTCAGTGATGCGAGTAAACTTGCATATTCAGCTGTGGTCTTTGTTCGAGTACAAACAAGAGATTCGGTTCAAGTTCATTTGGTGCAAGCTAAAGCGAGAGTTGCACCCAGCGGAAGGAAAAAAGACAACAATAGCTCGATTGGAACTTCTTGGAGCTACAATATGTGCACGTTTAGCATCCAGCATAATACCTGAATTTCAAGCTGATGATATTTATTTTTGGACAGATTCGTCTACTGTGCTAGCTTGGATACAGAGAAATGAAGTATGGGACGTATTTGTTCACAACAGAATTAAGGAAATAAAGCAACTGACTTCTATTGAATCCTTGGAGGCACGTACCAGGATCACTGAATCCTGCTGATTTGCCCAGTAGAGGATGCTCTGCTTCTTATTTAATTAAATCCAGATGGTGGGAAGGACCTAAATGGCTATATTTATCACCTGAAAAATGGCCAAAAGAAGATTTTAGTGCTGATGAAGAAGAAATAGCTCTTGAGAAAAAGAAAAGGATTATTTCGTCCTTAATAAATCTTAATGCTAGTGAAATAGTTGCTACTAGATTCTCAAGTTATCGTAAGACAATCAGACTGGTAGCGTGGATGTGTCGTTTTGTTTACAACTGTAAACATCAAAACAAGAAAAAGGATGAACTTACTGTATCTGAGTTAAATGAAGCTGAGAGAGAAATATCTTGATTCGTTTAATACAAAATGAGTCCTTTAATGGAATAGAAGATAAAACGGATTTTAAGTCTTAATCCATTCATTGATTGTGGGATCATCAGAACTAAAACAGCAATATTTCAAAGAGAAGATACATCTGAGTTCAGAACTCCTGCTATTTTGCCAAGTGATCATCCTCTTATAAAAAGTTTAATAATGGAAGAACATAAGTTGAAAGGACATGTTGGAGTTTCTCACGTCCTAAATTCCTTAAGAGAAAGATTTTGGATATTAGCTGGAAGAAGAGTTGTGTCATCCGTTTTGAAAACTTGTATAACCTGTAAGCGTTATTCAAACAAAAATGTTAACCCACCAGCGCCACCACTTCCTAGAGATCGGGTACAGGATGCCTCAGTATTTCAAATAACTGGCATAGATTATGCTGGACCTATATTTCTAAGAGACTACAAGAAGGCATGGATTTGCCTATTCACTTGCGCAGTGTACCTGTAGAAACAAATAGAATAATCCATACCCATTTAAAATCGCCCACGATAACCAAATCAGGAAGGACAATGGACTTGTGAGAACAATGTTTAATTTTTTATTATTTTGCAATACTCAATCCCGAATTTCATATTGCAAGGTGGGAGGATGAACAATATTTTGACTCTAATATTTTTGTTTATATTTTTCTAACTGCAGCTTCTGAGTAATATTGCACAAGCTTCAAGCAGATGTAATCGTTTTCTTTATAGTTTTTTTATTCATTATCTATTCATATTATTATTATCTATGTTTTGTAAACAGTTTATGTTTCAGAGAATGGCAACATACTTTGATGTTGTTCTTTTTAGAGAGTTAATGTAACTTTTGTTTTCCTCATTTTGAGAGTATGAGTAAAGGAATTATTTAATTATTGTAGAGTCATAAATAACTAAAGAGATATAGATAGTTATTTCCGAATAATAAATAGTTCTTGAGGTAACAAATTTGGTGAGAATTTTTGAACAGGTTGTTCGGATGAGTAAGTCTCCGAATTCTAAGCCCGAAGTCGTTCATTACGATAAGGTCGCTCCTTACTATGGCCATAGTACGTTGCGTATATAATGTGAATAGTATAAAACGTGATAATTTTTTTCTTTTCTAAATTTGTAAATTTGTGCACTTATTTATTTTGTATTCGATTTGTTTTAAGTTATTTACTACAATTATTGTGTATGTTGTTTGTTATTGCATTGTAATGTTTATTATTGCATTCATGCCTTAGGTATGGCCTCCTCTCCGGTGGTTGTAAAGCCCGGGACGTGCAGTCCTGTGGGAGGGGCAATGTTAGGAATTTTGTCTTTAGATAGGTAATTTCAGTAGAATTATAATTAAAATTATTGTACACTCATGTCCATAAATTAAGGATAATTCGGAGTCACGCGGAAATCGAACTCTAAAATAAATATACCACCTGTAAAATCACTACACACATGTTCAAGAATCATATGCAAATTTCAGAAAGTAACCAGATGACACCGATGGTACGTCACAATGACGAGAGTGTAAGAGAGTGATATATAAGGAATACAGGCAAAGAAGTAAAACTGTTCGCAGGCGCTTTATAAGCATTTCGGTGCAATAACCGAATAGTTATGACACAAAGTACGCATTTGGATGATTTTTTACGTGGTAGAATTATCGGCCGTCTGGAATGTGGGCGTACTCAACTGGGAGTATCAGACGAACTTGGAATTGCCCAGAGTGTCATCTCCAGGCTTTGGCAACGATTCCAAGATGATGGTAATGTGAGTAGACATTACAGCACCGGTCTCCCCAGAGTTACAACGCCGAATGAGGACCGGTATTTGGCAGTTACTGCCAAAAGAAACAGGCGGAGCACAGCCTCAGACCTGTCTCGTCAGCTCTCTTCAGCCACTGGTACGACAATTTTAAGGCAGACCGTGTACAGACGCTTAGGGCAGATTGGTGTATATGCTCGTAGACCTGTCAGATGCATTCCACGTACTGCAACTCACTGTCGCCTGCGGTTAGCCTGGAGTAGAGAGCATCCATTGTGGACACCGCAACTGTGGGCTTGTGTGATGTTTTCCGACGAGTCCAGGTTCAGCTTGCAATCTGATTCTCGCCGGACTTTCATAAGGAGAGCTCCAGGTACCCGTTACCACCAAGAAAACATCATTGAACGACACCGTTACGGTGGTGCAGGATTGCTCGTTTGGGGTGGAATTATTCTGGGTTCCAAAACTGACCTGCATGTTCAAATTGGAACCATGACAAGCCAAATCTATCGGGACGTCATTCTAAAACAACATGTACGTTTGTTTCGGGACGTCATGGGCGCACAATTTGTGTTATGGATAACAACGCCGGTCCTCACCGTGCAAACATCGTAAGCTAATGCCTTTAATCGGAGGATATCACTCGTATGGACTGGCCAGCATTCTCACCGGACTTGAATCCAGTAGAGCACGTGTGGGACATGCTTGGCCGACGATTTGCAGCCCGTCAACCTCCTCCTACATGTCTACCGGAACTTCGGAGAGCATTGCTTTTGGAGTGGTATAATATCCCCCAAGATCAGATCGATAATTTGATACTCAGGTTGCCTAGGCGTTGTACGAACTGTATTGTATCGTATGGGAGACATACAATGTATTAACAATCATACCAACTGTGTGATATTGGTTTTTTGTAAATAGGGTTTTTGTAATTTGTTCCAGGGAGAAAAAATCGCTAATTTTTTTAATACTATCAAACATATAGCATCTTTTTTTTGCTCTTTACCTTTGGTTTAATAAATAAGCTTTACAAATAAGTCAAATTATTTTGCTTCTAACTCTTCCTTTGCCTGATTTTGCATTATTCTTAATTTATGGACATGAGTGTATTTCTCCGTGCAAATCAGCGCGAGACAAATTTTAAGAGAAAGCTATGCCGCAAAAGTAAGAATACACTGGCACATACATTTAACTTTGAGTAAATGTGTATCTTGGTTATCTGTATTGAAATTGAATAAATCGAATTGACCACTGTGTTACTGTAACCGTAATTTCACACTCTTATTGCTTTCCAGAAATTAGAAATAAATAAATTAGGTATATTAAGTACTAGAAATATCTCTTGTCCGGTTGATGAAAACTATTTAATGCCGAAGAGAGAGCATCTGCTCTCAGCGGCTTAGTTACTGCTGTAGCGAGTTGTTTAATTCCGCGTGAACTGGGATATCAGAGTTAGCTTTCTCTTTAGATGGGCTTTGCAGTGCATTGTATTTAACGTTTTCTGTAGTTTGAAGTGTAGCTACTGATTATGCTGTGTGATACTGTGAGCACTTGTGCGAATATTTCTGTAACATTTCAGAGTTCTGAAATAATTCTTTTGATAAAAATAAATTTTTACGGATATCGGACTTGTGCATTCAATCTATGATGAATCCGTACGCACGCAGCAATATTATCGCATATTAGGGAGAAAATATTTCAAGAACCAAATGTTTGTCACACTATTTCGTGATATTGATAATTTGAAGGAGAGAATAGCAAAGGCTATTATTGCAAGTGTTCCAGACCAAATTTTGGAGAACACATGGCGAGAACTGGAATATCGGCTTGACAGTGTCTACGAAGAGGTTACATTTTGAAATTTATTTAGGTAGTATTATGCTAAAAAATTCTTTCCTCTGAGAATAATTATCTAGGTTTAATTATAATAATTCTTGCGAAATAAATATTTGTAATTATTGAAAGACCTTGCTTTTTTATATAAAATATTTTAAAGTATTAACAGTAAAAAATGTTAATTTTTAAAATTGCATTTGTTCCTATCGGAACAAAGTACTACTATTTTTCATGTGCTCAAAACAATTTTAAAATGAATAATATGTTTTCACAAACCTTTGTTTAATTATATTAGAAAATTTGGGATAATCTGATTTTATTTCGTAAACAATTATTATAATAAAAGTTGAAATTAAAATTTTTTGTACTAGTTTGTAAATCATGTATTATTTTCTTTCTGTTAACAGAAACTTTATCTGAAATATAGTGTAAAGTGTAAGAAACTTTTTAGCTTTTCTAAAATAGCTTTCAAATTTAAAAGTAGTATTCGCATTATAATTATTTTTGTCTCAGTTTTTTTATAGCTCTCTATGCTCACTATAGTGAGCGCACAATAAAATAACTAAATATCGCTAACTCAACTTAAGTTCAAATTCTGGAAAACTGCTATATGGAAGATTTCGTAGTTTTCCTCGTGTGTAACGTAAGCCTCGTGTGTAACGCAATCCACCACTCATGCTCTGCACGCTATCTTGGAGGAAATACAAAGGAATAGATCAGGCAACCTGCACACCGCCTTCATCTCGCTGGACCTCCAGAGTGCCTTTGATACACTCTGGTGGCCAGCAATCAAGCAGGCACTCAGGAAAGCGCAATGCCCCATCAATCTCTATAGCGTCCTCTGCCACTACCTGCAGGACAGAAGTCTACTAATAACTCATAACAACGGAGTTACTACTAAACACCAAGAAAGGGGCTGTCCGCAAGGCTCGTGTGCGGGACCGATTCTTTGGACGATTACTTTCAACGCCATCCTGGAGGCCACATGGCCAAGACATACGTCCATCGTCGCCTACGCTGACGATGCCGCACTGTTAGTACAAGGAAGAACCCGCGACGAGCTTGAGAAGAATGGCACCGAGTCTTGTGCACTCTTTGCAGAACTCTGCGGCAAACTTAAACTTCAACTATCTGCTGAAAAGTCCTGTGCCCTGATCATACCGAAGCAAAGAGCCAACCTGAGACGCAAACCATGCATCAAATTAATGCAGAGGAACATTAAAATCAATAACACCTTAAAGTACCTTGGCCTTCTGTGGGACAACAAATTAACATGGATTCCCCACCTCCAAAGTATTAAACAGCGAACTTCCGAAATAGCAAGAAAAGCCCGCCTATTTCAGGGGCGAAACTGGGGTCAAAACCCCCACATACAGAAAATTCTTTATCTCACACAGTCTCAGAGAAAAT